GATGAGGTCTCGCCAAGTTGCCCAGGCGGGTCTCGAACCCACGGGTTCAGGCAATCCACTTACCTCAGCCTCCCAAAGGCGTGGGATTACAGGCTGAGCCCCCGAACCCGGCTAATATTTTAAATATTAGTATGGGGAGTTAGAATTAGATACTGTAGGAAACTAAAAATTCAAAATTTTGTCCAAATTGCAGGTAGATAATAAGACCTCAAAAACAGTGAGCTAGAATCCAATAACAGATGTACTGTAGATTTTTTTCCAGAAACAATTTTTTTTTTTTTTTTGAGTTGGAGTCTCTCTCTGTCACCCAGGCTGGAGGGCAGTGGCACGTTCCCGGCCACTGCAGCCTCGACCTGCTGGGCTCCAGCGATCCTTCCGCCTCAGCCTTCCAAGTAGCTGGAACTGCAGGCGCATGCTACCACGCCCAGCTAATTTTTTGATTTATTGTAGAGATGAGGTCTCGCCAAGTTGCCCAGACGGGTCTCGAACCCGCGGGCTCAGGCAATCCACTTACCTCAGCCTCCCAAAACGCGGGATTACAGGCTGAGGCACCGAGCCCGGCTCAGAAACAATTTTTTCTCTCTTCCCATTTTTACCAAAGATAATTAATCACAGTAAGTCCAGTTTATTTGTAAAATAAGTTTAGTCTCATTATATTTGGCCTAATTATATACATAAAGGCTGCAAGAAGAGTGATTGACCATAGCGTCTTTTTAAATCTGCCTTGCTGGAACTTCTAAGGAATCTCATATTGGACCTTCAAAAGCCTCTCCTCTCTAGACTAGGAAGCCAAGCCACACACTTGTCATCAGATTGTACCTGTAGTACCAGGGTGAATTCTTCTTTTCTTGAGATCCCCAAAATATTCTCAGGTTCTAGAACTTGTCAAAAAGTGACAGTCTTTGCTTTCTGCCAGGCTAAAAACTTTGTAAGGGAACCGTGTAGACAAGGTACCAGGCCAGTTTTTCCAAGGGCTTTATCGAGTCTTTTAAGTTAAGCCTAGTTCCTTGAAGCAGACTGGTTATATCTAAAAATAATTACATCTCAGTCAAAGCCTTGATAATATGACCTGTGTTTCAAATTGTCCTGTTACAAAGATCGCAAATTCTTATTGAACTTATAGAAATAATTATATTGCTATAGAATAAGAATACTCAGTTGCCAAATTTTAGAAAGATCATGTAGAGAGAAAGGTAAATATTTTAGTTTGCTCACAAAAGTATACTTTATCAAATCTCTGTAATGCTATGGATAACCTCTCCACTTCCAAAAAGAAGTTTTCTTGGTTCTGAAAATAAAATAAAAAGAGTCAGCCACGTTTAAAGTTATTTTAAAAAGTCACTTCATTCTAATGTTATTCTTGTTTTTCTGGATTTGGGGTTAGCAATTTTATCAGTCCAGATTTTTTTCCATTAGAGTTTTTGAAATTCTTACCCAATTCAATGAGATATATGGTGTCACAGTTATTAGAAACTTATATTCAAGAGTACTTGTTGCTGTCTCTTCTGTGAACCTCCTTGAAAATGCAACACTTCTGAATTTGTAAAGAACTTTCAGAAAAAAGACATCAAAATAAAACAGTTAACCATGAACAGTAGGCCTTTAAATGACTGTGATTGAAGACTCAATTGTCAAGGAAATTTGGTTATTTTCTGTGGTCTACAACAATTTAACATAATAACCCTAAATATGACAGATAACATATACCAAGACACATCAAATTTCTAAAAAATCTCATATAATGTTGGAACATATATTAATAGTATATCTATACAATTATAACTCAAAGGAGGTTAAACATAATTTATTATTTGACTGTGTCCCCCATGTAATTTAACACACCAAGTAAACTTTATTATCTCTCTTTTGCATACTTCACAAACCCTTTACAACATCCTAGTTGGGTTTGAGGTAAAAAAGACTCAGTTTTAGAATTTGAAATTTGATTTTGAGAAGCCTATCAAATACAGTAAGTCCTCTACATACAAATGAGTTTTGTTCTGAGAGCATTCCTAAGTCCAATTTGTTTGTTAAATCCAACAAAGTTAGCCTAGGTACCCAATCAACACAACTGGTTATATAGTACTATAATACAATAGGTTTATAATACTTTTCATGGCTGGGCGTGGTGGCTGAAGTTTATAATCCCAGCACTTTGGGAGGCCAAGGCAAGAAGATTACCTGAGCCCAGGGGTTTGAGACTAGCCTGGGCAACTTGGTGAGACCTGGTCTCTACAATGAATAAAAAAATTAGCCAGGCTTGGTAACATGCCTGTAGTTCTGGCTTCTTGGAAGGCTGAGGCAGAAGGATCACCTGAGCCCTGTAGGTCGATGCTGGGGTGACCACGAGTGTGCCATTGCACTCCAGCCTGGGTGATGGAGTGAAACTCCAACTAAAAAAAAATTAATACTTTTCACATAAATAATACATAAAAACACAAACACATAAAAGCTTTTTAATCTTACAGTACATACCTTGAAAAGTACGCCAAACATGTGAACTAATTTATGTGATTGGATATGCAATCATATATTCACACTCTTGAAGGTTCACAACTTGAAAGTTCATATGTAGGGGACTTTGCTGAATGTCAAAGGTTTAAAACACTTGATCAAAGTAGGATCACAGATCACTGTAAAATAATGGTAATTCATTTAGCCAAAATGATAATTAAAAGCAAAAAGGACATGCACACATTAAGTTACTTGCATAAATTTATAGCTAGTAAATGGTAGCTCCTGAGATTGAAACCAGATAGTCTGCCTCCATTGTGCATGCTCTTACTTCCTGTGATAAGCTGCATTTCCATTTATTCTATTAAAGTCAGTTCTGTAGAAATTGTTATTAATCAAGCTTTATAGACATTCTAGCCAACTCAATAACCCTAGAAAAAGGAATACAGTAAAAATATTGAAAGGAAAAGACCAAGCTCTTGCTTGCAGATACTCATGATTAGATAATCTTCTTGTGCCATAAAACTTAATAGGCTAAATAGAATTCAGTAGCTTTAGAATACTAACTGCCTTGATTTTCTTCCCTTATTTTCTTCTGTTTCTAAAGAAAATGTTTGCATGTGATAATCTATACTGGTTTAATATGTTCCGCATTTAAAATTTATTTTTAAACTATCACTGTATCTCTTTTCCTTTGCTATCAACACTTGAAACAGTAACTTGTCTTTTCTTTTTCTTGAGTTGGCATCTCACTCTGTCACCTAGACTGGAGTGCAGTGGTACACTGCCGGGCACCGCAGCCTTGACCTGCTGGGCTCCGGCGATCCTTCTGCCTCAGCCTTCCAAGTAGCCAGAACTACAGGCACATGCTACCATGTCCGGCTAATTTTTGATGTACTGTAAAGATGAGGTCTTGCCAAGTTGCTCAGGCGAGTCTCAAACCCGTGGGCTCAGGCAATTCACTCACCTCAGCCTCCCAAAATGCTGAGATTATAGGTTGAGCCACCGAGAACTTGTCTTTTCTGTATCTCCTGAATTACCCACATACTTTAAAAAAAATTTTAATTATGAAACATTTAAAATATACAGAAATATGCTGAATATGAAATACGTATATGCCCACTAACCCAGTTTTATAATTGTTAACATTTTGCCATTACTGGTTTCAGGTCTTTGTTGTCTTATTATTGTTGTTGTTGTTGTTGTTGTTTTTGTTTTTGTTTTTGTTTTGAGTTGGAGTCTATCTCTGTCACCCAGACTGGAGTGCAGTGGCCGCTTCTGGCCACCATACCATCTGGCGATCCTTCTGCCTCAGCCTTCCAAGTAGCTGGAACTACGGGCGCGCACTACCACACCCGGCTAATTTTTTGATTTGTTGTAGAGATGAGGTCTCACCAAGTTGCCCAGGTGGGTCTCGAACCCGCGGGCTCAGGCAATTCACTCACCTCAGCCTCCCAAGGTGCGGGATTACAGGCTGAGCCACGGAGCCCGGCTTGTTTTTTATTTTAAAAATCAGGCACCCTTTTTTTCTCTTGGTCCCCTGTCTCCCCTAAGGTCATCACCATCCTAAATTGTTGTTTATTCTTCCAATTCATGTTTAAAATTTTTTTTATGTATGTATACACTTATAAAATATGTGATATAGTTTTATATTTTTTAAATTTTGTTTTAATGATATGCAGTATGTATTCTATTGCAAATTGCTGTTTTCACTAGTTGTTTTTTAATTAATTTTTATGCATGTTCTCTACTTCATCCATTTAATGGTCATGGAATAGTATATCTAGTGAATATACCAATTTGTTTATTTCCTTGTTGATAGACATTTTCCCCCAATCTTTCGCTATTATAAACAGTGTTACAGTGTACATCCTTGTACATATTTTCTTGTGTACCCATATGAAGTTTCTCTAAGTAATATATCTGAAAATTGAATTGTTTAGACAATAGAGTAGCTTAGTTCTACTGATATTGCCACATTGATTTCCTAAGTCTTTCTATTCTTATCAAGTGTTTATATTTGCTATTTTTTACATCCTTGCTGATGTCCACTATCTTTAGACTTTTTAATTTTTGCCAGTGTGATGGATATTATTGGTTACTCATGACATTGAATATCTTTGCATGTGTTTAATGTCCCTTAAGATTTTCTTTTCTCTGAATTATCTATTCATGACATTTACATTTTTCTATTGAGTTTCTGCCCTTCTCATATGGAGTTCTAGAAGTTCGTTCTAATTTCTGGATCTCTAATCTTGTACTGATTTTATGTGTTGGAGATGCTTTCTTCCAATCTGTCATGGCACATCTTTTAACTTGGTTTTTAGTGACTCTGATTTTAATTTATGAATCTTTTCCTTTAAAACTTGTTTGTGTGTATGTGTATATGTCTTATTTCCTTTCCTATTTTGATAGCATAAAGGATATTCTCTTATATAAGTTTATAGTTTAGCTTCTTACAGTTAGGCTTCTAAGCCATTTGGAATTTATTTTTGCAGGATGATCAAAAGAGGGATTTATATCTTTTTTTCCACATGATGGCTAATGGTCCATGTGGCATTTTATTATCCTTTCCTCACTGATTTTTAATTCCATACTGCCATATAACAAACTCTTTAATGTGTTTGGATCTATTTGTGGGTCTGTTCTGTTCCTTTGGTTGTCTTTCTCTATGCGGTCTTTCTCTATACCTCATATTTTATTTAATACAGCTTTTCAATAGACTTATTAGGAAAAAGAATCCTACCTCCTTATTCTTTTTCTTTAAAATACTTTGGCCACTTTTCCTCTCTTATTATTTCTCATCAATTTAGAGATCACATTGTCAGGTCCTTTTAAAAGAAACAAACCTTCTGGAATTTTTATTTAAAAAATACATTGGATTTATAGACTAATTTAGGGAGAAGTGACATCTCTATGGCATTGTTTCTTCTTACTCAGAAATATGATTGCCTTTTTAAAATGCCTTTTATATTCTTCGATGAGGTTTTATAATGTTTATATAAGATTCCTGCACATATTAAATTTGTTCATAGATATGTGATAGTTTTTGTTAACATTGTACAAGGAGATTTTTTGAGATGATCTTTTTTTCTTGATTGCTGCTCCTATATTAAAGTGTTATTAACTTTTGTACATTGTTTTGTACCTAGCAACCAGGTTGAATTCTTTTCAGTTCAAAGAGTTTCTAGATTTTTTTATGACAATATTTTCTAAGTATAATGGCCGTTTTATTTTAATTTCAATTTTACAGTTTTTTTCTTTGAGCAGATGTCTAGGAGCTCTAGGATATTGTTGAATAGAAGCAGTGATAATGTACCTTCAAACATTGTCCCTAACTTAAAGGGAATATATCTAATATTTTACATTTAATATAATATTTATTGCAGGGTTCTGATAGATAATTTTTTTAAAGTTAAGAAAATTATACACCCTGTTTGAGTGAGAGTATTTGTTTTGATTTTATTTTTGTTATGAATGTGTGCTGCATTTTACCAAATGCTTTTCATTCATTTATTGAGATAATCACTTTTTTCCTTCGATTTGTTAAACTTTTAACATGTTAATTGTGCTTCCCTTTTTTCTTTTTTTTGAAGAACATGAGCCAAAGTTTTATTTATTGATTGCTTGCATGCAAGTTACTCTTCGATGGCATCTTTGGTCTGAGATTCTTTGCCATAGTCCTTTACTATACAACTTCAACCAACCACTTTATCGGACTTTCCGTTTCTCAGTTTTACACAGGCCTACCCATTCCCCTAATTTCTTGTTCTCATCAACCTTAATTAGGTTGATTTGGTGTTCAGCACAAAGGGCTCCACCAACTTGACATACATAGGCTCATCACAGTTGGATGCAAGCACACAGAGATGGGCCTGGCCCTTATCTAAGGTTTTGGCATCTTTGCGAATTCCATGTGCTAGGCCGTCATGGATGAGGGCGATCTTCAGCACCTCTTGTGAAGCAGTGTTCCCGTCCATTACACCTCCAGCTGCGATACCTTCCTCAGCCATCACGGTGGATTATGGGAGATGCAAAATCTTGAACTCACCCACGCCTCTGCCCCTTGTAAATCAGCGGCAGGCAAAGAGCCCCTTTTTTCTTCTAAGTTTTTTTTTTTTAACTTTATTAATCTTTTTTAAAAAGCTACATTGGAGTTTGTTAAACCTCTCTATTGTTTCTCCATTATTTGCTTTCTGTCATTTCTGTCTTTTTTTTTTTTTTTTTTTGAGTTGGAGTCTCACTCTGTTGCCTCAGCCTTCCGAGTAGCCAGAATTACTGGCGCACGCTACCACGCCCGGCTAATATTTTGATTTATTGTAGAGATAAGGTCTCACCAAGTTGCCTGGGCAGGTCTCGAACCGGCTGGCTCAGGCAATCCACTCACCTCAGCCTCCCAAAGTGCTGGGATTACAGGCTGAGCCACCGAACTTTTCTTGATATGTATATACCTCATTCAGATGTGTAAAAGTTTTTAAAAATAAATAAGTGAAAAAAATGAATGAATTTGGGCCAATTAAAGCTGCCAAATGAGCCACTATAATACTGGAAAGTCAATTATTTGCAAATCATACTGTAAAATAGCATACTGTTAAGGATGAATTCATTATTTATCATATGGTTTTTTTCATCCTTACTGGGATCTTCCACTCTGCAAACAAGATTTGTGAACAAAAATATTCACCTTCTCTTTTTTTCTAGATTACTCAGACATATCAGCTTCATGAAGTCACTGCTTATCTATTGGAAAAGAAAGGAGATATTCATGGTGCCTTCTTAATAATGTTAGAGGTAACATTTTACTGTATTTGTTTCATTATATTTCTGTCTATTCCTCTGTTCATCAATCCATCTTAATTTCTTTTGTTTCAAAGTAAATTGCAGACAATGGTACATTTTACCCCTGAATATTTTTATCATTCGTATCATGGACTAGACTTCAATATTTCTTTGTGGCATTTTTTAAAGGTCAATTTACATACAGTAAAAAACACATGATGTCTAATGTGTACCATTTGATGAATTTTTTTGTTGTTGTTGTTTGAATCTCACTCTGTTGCCTAGGCTGGAGTGCAGTTGCATGATCACAGGTACTGCAGCCTTGACCTTCTGGGCTCAGGCAGTCCTTCCACTTCAGCCTTCCAAGTAGCTGGAACTACAGACATGTGCCACCACAGCCTGCTAAATTTTTTTTATTTATTGTAGAGATGAGTTCTCACCAAGTTGCCTAGGCTGTTCATTAATTCCTGGGCTCAGACAGACCTCTCACCTTCACCTCCCAAAGTGCTGAGATTACAGGCGTGAGCCACTGTGCCCTGCTCCATTTGATGAATTTTTGACAAATGTATACACCTGTGTAACCCAAGTCAATAACAAGATAGAGGTGATTACCTATACCCTGGAAAGTTCCCTCAGTGGTCCTTCACAGTCAATTTCTGCTCCCATCTCCCCATTCTCCCAGAGAGAGCTAATCTGATTTTTTTCACCACCACAGAGGTATTCTTTCTGCAATTCTTTCACCCAGCATAATGGTTTTGAGATTTATCTTCATTATTGGATATCATAGTTTGTTCCTTTTGTTGTGGAGTAGTATCTAATTGTGTGAGTAACCATGGGTTGTTTATTCACTCTTCTGTTGGTGGACACCTGGGTTGTTTCTGGTTTTTGACTACTATGAATTATCACTATTGTATAGGTCTTTTTGTTACACAAATGTTTTTATTTCCCATAAGTTAATACCAAGGATTGGAATTGCTGGGTTATAGAATAGTTTTATAAGAAATTGTCAGACCTCTTTCCAAAGTGGTTGTACAGTTTTATACTCCCACCAGTAGTGTGTAAGAGTTTTGCCATAGGCCGGGGTTGGTGGCTCAGCCTGTAATCCCAGCACTTTGGGAGGCTGAGGCGAGTGGATTTCCTGAGCCTGCGCGTTCAAGACCAGCCCAGGCAACTTGATGAGACCTTGTCTCTACAATAAATCAAAAATAGCCTGGCATGGTAGTGCATTTATAGTTCCGACTACTCAGAAGGCTGAGGCAAAAGGATCGCTGGAACCCAGAAGGTCGACGCTGGGGTGGCTATGAGTGTGCGTGCCACTGCACTCCAGCCTGGGTGAAGGAGTGAGACTCTAACTCAAAAAAAAAAAAAGTTTTGCCATAAAGGAGGACAGAATTATGAACTTCACGGCAGCTTGGATAGACTTAGAGTCTGTAATACTCAGTGATCTGTTATAGAAACAAAGAACTGAGTACCACATGTTCTTCCTCATAAGCAGACCCTGAACAATTATCATATTACTATAAGAAAGGGATCGGTAGTAGTGGGAAACTGCCGGTTTGACGGGGAGGCACGCTTCATCAATAAGTGTACCTGATCTCAAATCAGGTGAAGTGGGGACCAAAATAAGGCCCAAACTTTATTTGTAAAATGACCATTTGTATACCTAAACCCGAATTGTACCCTACATCTGTAAAATAAAAGTGAAAAAAAAAAAAAAAGAATTTTCCTTGTTTCATATTATCACCAATACTTTCTGTTCAATTAAAAAAATTTCTAATTAAAAAATGTATTGTACGCCAGGCGTGGTAGCACGCGCCCGTAATTCTGGCTACTTGGAAGGCTAAGGCGGAAGGATCGCTGGAGCCCAGCAGGTCGAGGCTGCGGTGGCCGGGAGCGGCCACTGTACTCCAGTCTGGGCGACAGAGTGAGACTCCAACTCTTAAAAACAACAACAACAACAACAACAACAAACAACCAAAAAAATGTATTGTAAAGTATACATAAGATTTATCATGTTAACCATTTTAAAGTGTGTAGTTCACTGGCATTAACTATGGTCACACCGTTGTACAACCATCACACCATCTGTCTACACAATATTTTCATCCCCCATTCTGAAACTCTGTACCTATTAAACAATCACCCCCTATTCCCTGACCCACCCTCAGTCCTTGACAATTGCCATTCTACTTTCTGATTCTGATTCTGTGAATTTGGCTACTCCAGGTACCTCTTATAAGTGGACTCATACAATATTTTTCCTTTAGTGTCTGGTTTATTTCACTCAGGTTTATCCATGTTGTAACATATATCAGAATTTTCTTTCTTTTTTAGGCTGAATAATATTCCATTATACCACATTTTGTTTGCCCATTCATCCTTCAGTGAATAGTTGGGGTGCCTTCACCTTCTGGCTGTTGTGAATAATGCTGCTCTGAACATGGTTGTACAGATATCTTTTTCAATTCCTACTTTTATTTATTTTGAGTATATATCCAGAAGTAGAATTGTGGGATCAAATAGTAATTCTAATTTTAATTTTTTGAGAAATTACCATACTGTTTTCCATAGCAACTTTGCCATTTTACATCTCCACCAGCAATACACAAGGGTTTTTCCGTTTCTCTACATCCTTGCCAACACTTATTGTTTTTTTGATGGTAGCTATCCTGATGGGTGCGAAGTAGTACAGCAGTTTTAAAAAATATTATCATCTAGCTAGGAATAGATTAGGGATATCACACTTGTATCAAAAACTGTTCCATATTGGCTTCTAGTTTCTTTCTAACCATATGATTCTAAAACAGGCTAGGAAGAATAATCCACAGAGGCTTTGCATAGGCTCTTAATCTCTATTAATCTGTAAATTACCCTTATATTTCTTTTTTTCTTGCAATGCTTTTGTTGGGGATGCCATGAATCTAGTTGTAAATAATAGTAAAAGTATTCCTGACATAGATGAGAGAAGGAGATGCATTGTGATAAATAAGGCCATCATCTGCACAGGTTTAGGATTACAAAGCAAAGAAGTATGGACTACTAGGAGAGTGCCAACAGCTTTACTAGGGCTCAACTATACGATATATAGGAAGGTCAGGCAGAAACAAAGACTAGGTACAGATTTAGACAGATTTTGTAGGACACACTAAAGAATTGTGACTAATCCTCTTGTCATGTGGGATGAACTAAAGGTTTAAGCAAGAAGCTGACGTGATGTTGTCTGTTTCATAAAGACTTATGGCCATGGGGAGTTGGTAGGAGACAGTGAGATATAGAGGAGAGGAAAAACTGAAAGCAGAGAGCATCTGGGAGGCCCCTGCAATAGCAGAGGTGTGAGTCAATGAGGGCTTGAACTGGGTATGGCAGTGGTAATGGAGAGAACAACGGGATAGGTTTGAGAAGTTATTGATCATTTGCATATGGTATGAGGTGAGTGAGAGGGATTTTAGTTTATAAGCTTATTTATAGCCTATTAGCTAAAAACCTATGGCTTAAAATTCTATAATATTTAACCTGTTAGGGACCCCAAGAAAAGAAATTTTGGGTAGAGGGTATAAATGTATACCTTCAATGTATATTAGACTTCAGCTTCAATCTATGTTAAGAAGCCACTGGAATATCAGTTAAGGGTGTCTAAGGATCTAGAATTTAGTAGAGCCATGGACACTACAACTACTTATTTAAGAGACATCACACAGCCGGGCTCGGTGGCTCAGCCTGTAATCCCGCGCCTTTGGGAGGCTGAAGTGAGAGGATTGCCTGAGCCCGCGGGTTCGAGACCCGCCTGGGCAGCGAGACCTCATCTCTACAATAAATCAAAAAATCAGCCGGGCGTGGTAGCGCGCGCCTGTAATTCCGGCTACTCGGAAGGCTGAGGCGGAAGGATCGCCGGAGCCCAGCAGGTCGAGGCTGCGGTGGCCGGGAGCGGCCACTGCACTCCAGTTTGGCGACAGAGTGAGACTCCAACTCAAAAAAAAAAAAAAAAAAAAAAAAAAAAAAAGAGACATCACACGCGAAGCTGTGCTCTATGTTAAGGGGATAGGCTTCAGATGTTCGTTTCATTCCCACCCATCTAACCCACCCCCTCTTCCTATAATCCAGTGTATTTGTCTTTTTTTTTTTTTGCATTGCTATAAAGGAATATCTGAGGCTGGGTGATTTATAAAGAGAAGAGGTTTACTCGGGTCATAGTTCTGCAGGCTGTACAAGAAGCATGATGCCAGCATCTGCTTCTGGGGAGGGCCTCAGAAAACTTTTACTCATGGTAGAAGGTGATGGGAGCCAAGGGGAGCCAGTGCATCACATGGTGAGAGAGTGAGTGAGAGAGAAGAGGGAAGATGCCACGTTCTTTTGAACAGACAGCTCTCACATGAGCTAAAAGAAGGAAAACTCACTCATTACCTCGGTGAGACCACCAAGACATTCATGAGTGATACTCCCCCATGATCGCAACACTTTCCATTAGGCCCCAGGGATCACATGGATATCCAAACTGTATCACCCAGTATGCATTTTACTCCTTGATCCAAAGCATAGATAAATTCTAATCCTCATTACTATGCCTAGAGAATGTCAATGATGACTATGTGGTGGTATAACAGAAGCAAAAGTAGGGCAGAACAAATACTACTTGATCTTTTGGGTCCCCTGCCGTACTGCTAGCTATGATTTCTATATATATAAGAATTCACTTCTGAGTGACAGTAAGGGACTTTTTTTATTTTCATTTTTGCCACTCATCCCTCTTTTACTCATGGTAGAAGGTGATGGGAGCCAAGGGGTTTTTTGTGGGGGATATTCTCTTTTTTGAGTTGGAGTCTCACTCTGTCGCTCAGACTGGAGTGCAGTGGCCGCTCCCAGCCACTGCAGCCTCGACCTGCTGGGCTTCGGAGATCCTTCCACCTCAGCCTTCCAAGTAGCCGGAATTACAGGCACGCGATACCTCGCCCAACTGATTTTTTTTTTAATTTATTGTAGAGATGAGGTCTCGCCTGCCCAGGCAGGTCTCGAACCCGTGGGCTCAGGCAATCCACTCACCTCAGCCTCCCAAAGCACGGGATTACAGGCTGAGCCACTGAGCCCGGCTGGGGGATAGTCTTAATAACCTTTTTAAGGGTTCGACTTTTAAAATATGTTAATTCAAGTACTTGGTAGGTAGATATAAAAGTGTTCCTTTTAACTCCTGTATTCTTTTTACCTCCTAGAGACTACAAAGCAAACTTCAAGAGGTAACACATCAAGGTGAAAGTAAGTTCTTGAGTGTAATTTACATTTTTTTCTTTGTGGACCCTGTGTTTTGAAAGATGTTATTTAATAAATTGCATTTATTATGTAATAATTACATTGGCATATCTGCACAATTACTGTTTGTCCACTTTAACATGGATCAAACTTTTATATAGTTTTCAAGTTCATAAGAGGAAATCATATAAACTGTTGTGGCTTTGTGATGATAATTGTCAGTGGAGTTAAATGTACAGAAAATTGAGCACTGTTCATTGATTATCTTTTTGGTTATATTTTGTACTTATGATTTGGTTATGTTTAAATGAGGTACATAACTAACATCCTAAAAATTACTGTAATGTGCCAAACACCAGCAAATCAGTTTCTGATCAATGAGTAATAACTTATGTCAAGTTAAATTTATACAGTTTTAGTCTGAAACAGTAAAACTTGACAGTTTGGAATCTTGATTGGCTTGTGACAGATTGATGTAAAATTTCCATCATATTCCTTGACATTTTTTTAAAAATTATTTTTAAAAATTGTGTTAAAATATACTTAACATAAAGTTTACAATTTTAACTCTTTTAAAGTGTATCGGTGACAATGAGTATATTCACATTATTATGCAACTGTCACCATTATCCACCTCCAAATATTTTCATCTTTCCAGACAAAAAATCTCTACCCATTAAGCAACAACTACCCCATTTTCCCCTAGCCCCACACCCTAGAAATCACTGTTTTACTTTCTGCTTCCATCATTCTTTTGCTGAATTTGATTACTCTAAGATCTCATATGAATGAAATTATACAATATCTGTCCATTTGTGCCTGGCTTATTTCATTTAACATAAGAATCATAAATGTTCTAGCTAGCATGTGTCAGAATTTCCTTTTTAAGGCCGAATAAAATTCCATTTTATGTATATACCACATTTTATTTACCCACTCATATCTGGTGGACATTTGGGCTACTCCCTCCTTTTGTCTGTTGTGAATAATGCCACTATCAATGTGAGTGTACACTATCTCTTCAAGACCTGTCTTCAATTTTGGGGGGTTATATAACCAGAAGTGGGATTGCTGGATCAAATAGTAATTCTATTTTTAATTTCTTGAAGAACTGCCATACTGTTTTTCATAGTGGCTGCTTCATTTTACATTCCCACCAACAGTGCACAAGGGTTCCAATTTCTCCACATGCTTGCCAATACTTATTTTCTGGGTTTTTAAAATAATAGCCATCCATATGTATGTGAGGTGATATCTAATTGTGGATTTGATTTTCATTTCTCTAATGATTAGTGATGTTTAGCATCTTTTCATGTGTATTTTGGCCATTTGCTTATCTTATTTGGAGAAATGTCTCTTCAGGTTTTTTACCCATTTTTTAATTAGGTTGTTTTCATATTCCTTGACATTTTAAAAGTAGCCTTCAGGGAATCGTTTGATAGGTGATTTTTTTTTTTCAGGTTATCCTACCTCTTTTCCACAAAACACATTTCTTGATCCACACCTTTCCCTAATATACCTTTACCCTAATTATCTGTAGATTTCTCATCTACATTTTTTTATAATTAGGTCCTAAATGATAGGATCTGCATTGTATCTTGACCATCTGGTATTCTAGTAAATCTTTTTTGGCACCAGAGCACAGAGGATGAGATGAGCCCAGTCTTTACTCTGTTTACTTAGTATCAGAGGCTTATTTATATTCTGTTTTTAAGAATTTGGAATCTTTGATGGTTTTTGTGGAAGGGATGATCTGTATAAACTTGTACTTAAGAAAAACCTAGTGATAGTATATAAGAGAATGAGGGAGGCAAGATTTGGAAGTTAAAAGTTCAATTAAGAGTCTGTTGCAGTAGTGTAGATGAGGTGATTAATAAGAGCTCCACCAGGGTAAACATTGTGAGCAATATGTTAGCAAAATCAATACATGCTAGCAAATGTATTTGAATATACAGGGTGAAAGATAAGGAAACATCAAAGATGATGAAGATTATAAACTGGTTGACTTAAAGATGATGGTTCCATTAACTTGATTGGGAAATGTGGGGGAAGGAACAGGTTTGAAATGAAAAATAAGTTGGGTTTTACACATGCAGAGTTCAAAGTGCTTATAGAAAATTCACGTGGAGATAAATACCCAAGGGTGATTAAGAAATTCAACCTGCATATTCTGGAGGCTAAAGCTGTTTATCTGACATGAGAGCTGAAACCACAAGAGTGGCTTAAATCATTGAAAGAGAAAATAACAGAGCCTGTGGTAGTAACTTGGGGGAACATCTGCATTTAAGAATTAGGCTGAGGGAGAGATGGTAGAACAAGAAAGGTGAAGGATGATCTCTCTACTAATGAATCCACAAAAGATGATTGGGAATTTTCCTAGCTAAAGCATATAGAAATGCTCAGTATGACGTGTTTTATGTGTACTATGAATGTCAAACATTTATATGAAGAACTCCTATTGCACAGAACGATCTATTTTAATCTACTAAACCTTGGTTTTTCAAGTTTTATGAATGATAATGGATAACTAAAGCTATGCAATTAAAAAAAGTTTAACTTTTCACAGTAGCTCTGAGATTATTAGTGATATATTCTTAAGTGATGTTTATACTTTTTTTCTGAATCTAGATGCCAAAGAGAATCCTTCATTGAAGCATGTTGAAAATACTATGGTAGAGACAATTGCTCTTTGCCAGAGAAATTCACATAATTTGAACCAGCAGCAACGAGAGGTAGGTAATTACTGTTTAGGCATTTAAAGCCTAGTCTTGTCTGAAAGTACGAATTAATTCTATTTCCATTGCCCTTACAGCCATCTGAGTTTAATTCAACTGGATTTTAATCACTTTTTACAGCCCCCAGGAGTATAAGACTCCTGAAGTTATTATAAAGAGTGTGTGGCCTCTTTGTTCTCTCCAAAGGCTTTATATTCTTAGACTTGGCTGTGCTGCAAAACTTAGGTGCATGAATGCTAGAAGTCCCTGTTCTCTTTGAACTGAGATTTTGTATATTCCTTGCAATGGCACCATAGATATGTCGTCATTTATCATCTCTCCTTTTCTCTGTTGATAAAAGTGAGCATGAACAACTATAGGAAAGCCCTCAAGGGATACAGAGAAAGCTGAAAAAAGGTCAAAGAAAGCTATGATATAGTAGTTCTTAACCTTGGTTGCACATCTGACTCACCTGGGAGCTTTGAAAAATATCATTACTCAGGCTGCATCCCAGATCAATTAAAGTCTCTGGGGCTGGGCCAGCCATCAGTATGTTTTAAAGCTTTCTCCGTGATTCTAATGTGCAGCCAAGGTTGGAACCACTATTGTAATAGATCCCACATTGCACAAAGGAAGAAAAAATTAAAGGAGGTATAGTTGAGCACCAGGTGCTGGTGGGAGTCACAGCATGAAGCAGAAGCCAAGAGGGCAAGAGGTGATTTGACAGTTAAATTGAGGTAATTTTAAGTAAAGTTATATCATGATACGGCTTAACTCCTCTATGCCCGGCCCTCCAGGGCTCAGGCCTCTGACTCAACACTGCCTGGCTTCTTTCTACTGCTTGTGTTTTATAAATGGGAAACAGGTTAATTTTTTTATATACATTTAGCCTTACATGTTACAATGAGAATAATAAATCTTGGTATATTTTCTGTTCTTATGAGGTGAGTAAATTTCCCCTTTAAGTTTTGTCAAAGATTTTTCAGGGTCACAAATTCTGAAAACTCTTTAGAATATAAATTGTATATAACAAACACATTTGCATATAGATGTGACTCTTTTCTTTATTAAAAGAAATTTTTTTTTTTTGAGTTGGAATCTTACTCTGTAGCCCAGACTGTAGTGTAGTGGCACATTCACGGCCACAGCAGCCTTGACCTACTGGGCTCAAGCAGTCCATGCACCTCAGCCTTCCAAGTAGCTGGAACTACAGGCATGCGCCACCATGGCCAGCTAACTTTTTTATTTATTGTAGATACAAGGTCTCACCAAGTTTCCCAGGCTGGTCTCTAACACCTCGGCTCAGGCAATCCTCTCGCCTCGGCCTCCCAAAGTGCTGGGATTACAGGCTTGAGCCACCACACCCGGCCATAAAAGAAACTTGTGAAATGATACATACTCATCATTCTTAAAATCACTGAATTCATAAAGTTACACACAGAAGAATTTTTAAAATTACAATATATTCATTTCATCACCCAGAAAAAACCATCATTATCATTTGGTGAACATTACTTTAGATATTTTTTGTCTGCCTAAGTTGATACAATTAGAGGAAAATTTGATCAAATAATGCTTGCTTTTAAAAATATAGTACTCAGGTTTCTCTAGGAAGCTTATGCAAAACTGCTGAAGTATTATTTTTGTTGATGTTTTAATTGATGCGCAATAATTGTATATATTTATGAGGTTCGTGTGATAATTTTGATAGAGGTATACAACATGCAGTGATCAATTAGGGTATTTAGGAGAACTGTCACCTCAAGTATTTATCATTTATATGTTAGGAATATTTAAGGTCTTCTAGCTATTTTGAAGTATACAATAAATTATTGTTAACTATAGTCACTCTACTGTACTATCAAACATTAGGACTTATTACTTCTATCTAATTGTATGTTTGTACCCATTAACAAATCTGTATTCATCCCCCCATCCCACCCATACTTGCTTCTGGCAATCAATCATTCTACTCTCTACCTCTATGAGATCAGCTTTTTTAGTTCCCACATACAACTATAAGTGAGAACTTGACATATTTATCTTTCTGTGCCTGGCTTATTTCATTTGACATAATGGCCTCCAGTTCCATCTGTGTTGCTGCAAATGACAGGATTTCATTCTTTTTTATGGCCAAATAGCATTTTATTGTATATATGCATTAAATTTTCTCCATCCATTAATCTGTTAATTAACAGATTGATTCCATGTCTTGGTTATTGTGAATAGTGCTGATATACTGATTTCCTTCCTTTGGATAAATACCCAATAGTGGGATTGCTGGATCACATGGTAGTTCTAGTTTTAGTTTCTTACAGGCCCCTCATACTGTTTTCTATAATGGCTATACTAATTTGCATTCCCATTAACAGTGTACAAGGGTTCCCTTTTCTCCACATCCTTACCAACACTTATTTTTTTTATAATAGCCATTCTAAGTGTGAGGTGTTTTATCTCATTATGATTTTTCTTGATGATTAGTAATGTTGAACATTTTTTCATATACCTGTTGGCTATTTGTTTTGTTTTGAGAAATATCTATTCGTATTCTTTGCCCTTTTTAATGGGATTACTAGATCATTTTTAATGAGGTTATTTGTTTTTTGCTGTTAAAATGTTTGAGTTCCTTTTATATTCTGGATATTAGTTCCTTGTTGGATGAATAGTTTGCAGATATTTTCTACCATTCTGTATGTTGTTTCTTCACTCTTTTGATTGCTTTCTTTGCTGTGCAGAAGCTTTTTAATTTAGCATAACCCTATTTGTCTATTTATGTTTTCGTTGCCTGTGATTTTGAAGTCTTGTCCTTTTTGCTCAGGATTGCTTTGGCTATTTGGGCTCTTTTGTGGTTCCATATGAATTTGAGGATTGCTTTTTCTACTTATGTAAAAAATGTCATTGGTATTGATAGGGATTGCATTGAATTTATAGATTGCTTTGGGTAGTGTGGTCATTTTAACAATGTTGATTGTTTTGATCTATGAGCAGGGAATGTCATTTCACTTGTTCGTGTCTCCTTTAATTTTTGTCAGAATTTCGTAGTTTTTCTGTTTTTATAGTTTCCTTTTTTTTTTTTTGAGTTGGAGTCTCACTCTGTCACTCAGACGGGAATGCAATGGCCGCTCCCTGCCGCTGCATCCTCGACCTGCTGGGCTCCGGTAATCCTTCCGCCTCAGCCTTCCGAGTAGCTGGAACTACAGGTGCGCGCTACCACGCCTGGCTGATTTTTGATTTATTGTAGAGATGAGGTCTCTCCAAGTTGCCCAGGCGGGTCTCGAACCTGTGGGCTCAGACAGTCCACTCACCTCGGCCTCCCAAAGTGCTGGGATTACAGGCTGAGCCACTGAGCCTGGCCTGTTTTTATAGTTTTCAAGTATTTCTGTTTGATTTTTTAAAAATATATCTATTTCAATGTTGACTTTCTCATTCAAATCATGAATTGTTTTCTGATTTATTTGTATTGTTGGTGTTCTTTTGATTCTAAGTTTTTAAAATATCATTTTGAATTTTTTATTTATTTATTTATTTATTTATTTTTTCATTAATCAGTATTTTTTATTATGGTTTTGTGGGGTACAGTTAAAGGTTAGGTGTACAGTGATGTTTCATTCAGGACCCTGTAGATAAGAAGTGTTTTCCCATCCCCCGACAGATATTTGCTACTGTTAATCCCATCCCCCTCCCCCCCCATAGTTTCCCAGTACCATCCGTCATTTTCTCATAGTATTGCATTGGATGTTCAAGGTCCATTATATGAGTGAGAACATGTGATATTCGGATTTTTGTTTTTGTGAGAGGTCACTCAGTATTATAGACTCTAGTTCCATCCAGGTTGCAGCGAAATTCATGATTTTGTTCTTTTTTATGGCTGCGTAGTATTCCATCGTGTATATGTACCACATTTTTTTAATCCAGTCCTCTTTTGATGGGCAGCATGGTTGTTTCCAGGTTTTTGCTATTGTGAACAATGCTGCGATAAACATACGTGTGCAGGTATCTTTTTTATAGAGTGATTTGTGTTCTTCAGGGTATATTCCCAGTAGGGGGATTGCAGGGTCATATGGAAGGTCAATTTTTAGAGCTTTTAGGAATCGCCACACTGCTGTCCACAGAGGTTGCACTAGTTTACACTCCCACCAACAGTGTAGAAGTGTTCCCTTTTCACCACACCCTCTCCAGCAGCTGTTATTTTTTGAGTTGTTGATAATTGCCATTCTGACTGGAGTTAGGTGGTATCTCAGTGTGGTT